TAAAATATATGGAAACATCCAATATGCCTCCTAATATAATATTGTGTTGGACATGCTGCAAATTCATTGGTGATGTCCATTTTCCTGCCTGAATTTGTGGCAACGAATCCACGAAAGTGGATTGGTCCCTCAACAGGATATTTCCATATATTTTACAAGGAAAGTAGATAATGCTGCCTCAAAAGTGCCATACTAATCATACTGACGCACTACAAATTTATTGGCAATGTCCAAATTCACGGAGAACCCTGCCCACATTCATGGAGACCTAATCCCAAGGGGATCCCCCCCCCCCGATGGAATTTTCCCTGGAAATGTTGATAACATCAATTTCAGAATTCAGCACCCTCCTAAGCATACCAATGCAGTTCAAATCCATTGGAGATGTCCATTTGATATTCAAATCATGGACACTTAACCCTAACCCTAGGAATATTTGGCCTCTCAAAGGGATTTCCCCATGTATTTTACCGGGAAAGGTAGATAATGCTGGCCTGAAAAGTTAACACAACCCTAAGCATACCAACGAACTACAAATCCATTGAAGATGTCCCTTTTGCTGTCCAAATTCGTGTAGACCTAACTCTAACCCTAAATGTATTTACTCACCAATGGGGTTTTCCCATTTATTTTACCAGGAAACCTATACAGATAAGACAGACTGCAAAAGTCAGCATCTTCCCTAAGATATCAAAGCACTATAAATCTGTTAGCAATATCATTTTGCTGTCCGAACTCATGGAGACCTAACCATAACCCTGAGTCGATGTACTCCCCTTTGGGATTTTCCCATGTATTTCACCAGGAAATGTAGATAAGGTAGGCTCTAAGATGGATCAGCAATTCCTTAAAGTAGGGTGATTGATAGTAAGATATGATTAACTGCTCTTTAAAAAGCAAAATGGTATCATTTTAGGCCCCAAATAGGACCATCCTCCTATATCCTCAATTAAAAACTAGTGGAATTTTAGCAGCATGCTTTCCAACCACTTTAAACCAATTGGGTGTTGGATATTTTTTTCCAATGTTAGTACTTTTCAGGGTTTTAAGAATGGAAATTGTAATAGGAGGCCCCTGGCAGTCAAACCATTCCAATTCTCTTCCTTAAACCTTCATAATCTACCCTTAAAACTACCCCAAACCACCTGAATACATTTGAACCTTCCCCTTTTGCCCAAACAGGCTCCTGCTTCTATATCCAATTATGATTATCCTCCAAAGTGATAATACCAGTACATTACTAGTGGTCGCCAGAGTATCTAATTAAGCAACATTCTCATTACCTTAGGATTATGCATAACGAAAGTTTCTCCACCTGGAAATTCTAATCGCCGATGCCATTGATTTGTGGTAACAGCTTTCTTATACTCTGCCTACAACAAACATAAATGATACAACTTGAATATCAAGAAACCACATCAAAAGACAATATGACAAGAATGCAATTTAATTTCATTTGTAATATTATATTAAATTGTTCCCACAACTTATGGATAAAGACTATGCATTTCTTACCAATTAATCAAATTTCTAAAGGCAGCCACTATTTAAATATAATTAAAACTAGCAAGACAAAGATGTTTTTCCCATAGTGTTTCATGCCTAGCATGTTCTAAATGGCACTTGCCCCCAAGATTTGAAGCCACAATGAAAGTCAGATACCAACAATATGAAATTCTATTTTCTGCTAATGCAGCATAGAATGCTCTAGTTCAGTGATGGTGAACCTTTTTTGGCTCCCGTGCCAAAAGTGGGGGGAGCGCAGGGGGGGGGGGTTGTGCACAGGTGTGCTATAACCATAATGCTATGCGTGCTACACCCCCCCCCCATGCGCATCTGACCAGCGATATGACCACCCCACTTTTGGTGTGGTTTTTTCGCTCTCCCCAGGCTCCAGAGGCTTTCTAGGAGCCTGTGGAGGGCGAAAACAGTCCCTCCCCAACGCTCTTTTTAAGGGAAGCCTCCTGAAAGCTCCGGAGGGTGAAAAATAGCCCTATGGCCAAACTGGAAGTTTATTCCGGTTTGCCCGTAGGGCTGGTTTTTCGCGTTCTGGAAGCCTCCGGAGGGCGAAAAATGGCCTCAAAAGAAGGCCGAAGTCAGCTGGCCAATGCGCGTATGTGTGCTGGCCAGCTGACATGGCAGCGCCTCACATGTCCTAACAAATGGCTCCGCATGCCACCTGTGGCGCAGGCTCTAGTTTCAAAACATATTAGCAGTAAAATGAAATCATCTAGTAAGAATAAATAACATATATACATATTTTCCACATATAATTTATTCAGTATAATTTTGTATTTTTTTAAAAATAACCTAATTTTCAACATTTTTACTTTACACTAAAATTTTGGTTTAAAATTAATATTACAGCAACATTTCTATAACTGAAAGGCCATAAAATAATAAAATGATTTTTAAAATAGATTCATTGGGAAAAGCTTGCTGTCCTATGCGCTACACGCAAAAGGAACTGATGATAATGATATGGATGTGGTAGCACATTATTATTTTATTATTCAAAAGAAATTTTACTTTTGAATTTGTGATTTTTTTAAAAAATCTACAGCTAACATTGTTGCCTTCCTTTTTAAAAATACTCACCTCTAGTTTTTCACTGAAATCCTCCGTATAAGGAATAAATCTGCTGTCCTTATCTCCCTTATAAAACCAAGTACATCGTCTTACTTCAGATTGTTGTTCTTCCCAATATACAGCTTTTCTCACACGGTCATATAGATAAACATCATAACGTCCTCCATCAGTACTCAAGACCACACTCTCTGGATCAGGTTGCACTAAAGATTAACAAGAAAGTTATTACTTTATCAACCTTTCTCCATTTAACCTGTGAATACTGGAAATGAGAAAGCTTCAGGTTTTACGCTGAACAGTGATATTTTGTTTCTGAACGAAAGCTTCTATTGTAAAATGAGGGCAAGATGGAAAGTGTTCTAGATTTAATGCTTATCTCTTTCAAAAGTTGTTCCACTTTGCTCATTGCAGATGTCAGAATCAGACAATATACAAAATACACCAGTATGGATAGAATAGAAAAGTTCAGTAGATCCAATAGAGAAAAACAAGAAACAGGAGAAATAATCTGAAAACTAGGGGGACACACTCTTTGAGTAATGAGATATTCAATCTTGTTATTTTGAAATGTCTAGAGTTTTCTCTGAAGAATTTTGACAGAATTGCTCTTCATTACTCAAATACATGGAACCTTCTGTAGTAAACTTGCTTAAAGGAAGCCCAGAGTGAACAAAAATCTCTCTGATAGAATTGGCCATTTAATCTTGACTACACGAATAACTGTCATCAATATCATTAAATGTTTTATATAAATCAAATACTGTACTATGACAGGTAAAAAATGTATATAATTACTGATCACTCTTTGAGCTATAGCATCTGTAAGAAATGCTCAGTTTGATCATTTCCAGGACAATTCTCAGAAAATATCAGGAAAAGGAAAACAGCACCTAGTGTTTCTGAAGAAACATTGCCTCCAAACAAGAATCTACCAGGTCTCATATTTTCACTGGGAAAAAAGCTTTTAAATATATGCAAACAATATGTCATTGTAAAAATGATCTGCATATTATATAATATGCTTGTCTGTTCTCTTCATGTCCAAAAGTATAAATTATTAACAAAGAACATCCTTAAGTCTTACCAGAATTATAAACCTTGTCTAGAGTTGTAGAATCTAGATCACTGAAAGGCATCCATAGTTCCTTGTTTTCCACTTCCTTACAGTAAAACCAATGTGGCTGAACTGGTTCATATTGGTTTTGTAATAAGACTGGTGGTGCCTTCACAAGTGGGCCTGCTAACATTGATGTCTGAGGTGATAGGACTGACTGGAATGAAAAAGAGAGAAGCGGGGAAAGTTTCATTAATATTTCAAAGTTTTACTTGATATATCGATACAGGTCTTCATTATGTACAATTAATTCCTTTCTGAATTACAGGTATACATTATTCTTATAGATTTTGAATTAGCATAGCAAGAAAAAGCAATAAGGGAATTGTGTCTTAATTTTGTATATCTGATTGCCAGTTATTTTCAAATTTGATCTAGGTGGAGGACATTAGGTTTCACAATTGAATCCTAATCAAAACTCTATTCAATGTAACTTTCAAAAGTTATCGAATTAAAAACAAGAATTAATCAGCTTCATAATTTTGCAAATATTTTACATTCAGATATGACCAATAAACTAAGCAAGTATTAACTCTTTACTTGATATAATTAAACAGTGTCAAAAATTCCTAAAATCAAAAACATTTCATTTTTGTTTTCATGCAAAATAATAATCAAGGGTTAAGATAGCAAATGCATGTAACTTTATTTTAAGGGCAACATTCGTATCAAATGCTTTTGTTCATATATGTCTAGATTCTCCTTTCTCAGTTAAATCAAGTTACAAACCATATTCAGCCAATCATAAATTATTGAGCTTTTGGAAGATGTGAGAGAGTGAAACTATAATTGTTAAGAGGAGCAACAAACTACAATATTGAGTCCTTAACTTTTTTATAGGAATTGCAATATACTGAAAGATAATCTTCCTACCGGTGGGATTGGTCCTGCAGGAGTTGGATACTTCTGCATAGGTGGTACCAAAGGTGAAGGCTGCAGACTCTGGGCAGGTGCTTGTGTCTGTTGAAGCTGTGGGGGAGTGATATAAGGATTGGCTCTACTACTTAAGTTAGTATGACGATAGGGGTTATAACCTTGTTGTGATGCTCCCTGAGGTGGTGTTGAAAAGACAGCTGGTGGAGGACCACTTTGCTGAGGTGTTTGATAAGTTCCAATTCCTTGCACTGAAGTAGACGGAGTATTAAAAGATTGTGATTTTGGAGTGGAAGCTGAAAATACATTTGGCCCATCTTGTGATGAAGGAAGAAGAGGGAAAGAAACTGGAGGTTTAGGGAAAACAAATGTTCCAGCTTGGGTTGAGGTTGCCACTCCTAAGGGTGGTTGTCCAATGCTTCCAAAGGGATCACTACTGCTAGGAATTTGAGAGAAATAACTGAATGTAGATGGGGGGTTCACATTTGTTGCTGTCTGGCCTAGGAAGCTGTCTTCTTCACCAACATCTGTGTTATCATCTGCATTAAAGAATATAGTAAGGATCAACAAAAAATATGAAAGAATGGCATCTCCTCCATAACATCAACTAAAAATCAACAGTGCTATAGTTTATTGCATTTCAGCCACAAACATCTCTACCATTTTCAAGTCTTGCTGTTCAGCTGCAGTATTTGTATTACCTCAATAAGATAGTAATTTCTTCTTTTGGCAAGCTTTCATTATTCCAATAAGGATGTTCACTCAATACAGTAGCCAACTTGGAATATTAATGCTAATATATCAGCCAGATTTTTAAACTATCAAGACACCATCAATTAATCTAGAAGGAGAACTTTCCTTTGATGGCTATACACCACATTTAACAAAGGAATGGGGGATCATTATTTCTCAAAAATGGGACAAAATGCAAATAAACTGTGTACAATATAGACATGGATGGGGGCAGAATCTTTCAGATTTGGAAGAGATTGAGAAAGTTAGTTTTTGATAGTATGAATCCTATTTTAGGGCTTATTTTGGGTAAGAATATTATCTAATCAGTTTATTGATTAATCTGTTCTGCACTTGATAAAATTAACACCACCATTTTTACTGTGGCTCTGCTCATTTTCTCCTAGTGATAGGACCATTTCTTTCCTTAACTCTGCCTAATTTTTGAGGCTGTTCTTCAATGCCAGAATGAGAACTAAGTTACTGCATATAAACAGGCAGCAAAGCTCAAACTGATTTTGCTGACCTTCCAGAAAGATCTGAAAACATGTCTTTGCCATCGGGCCTGGGACCCAGTAGCATGGGTATGGAGCATACAAGGGGTTTTATTACCAGGGAAATTGGCTGTACCCTTCTGCAAATTATTTTTAATGTTTTAACTTTTTATAATTTTTGCTATGATTCTTTTGGTTATTTTGTTGCATCATTTTTGTGTTTTTTTTAACTTTGTACACACTGCCTAGAGTCAAGTATGTGACCAAATAAATAAATTTGGGGAATATAGGAGAAATACGAATGTGTCAGTTAGGTCAGTGGTCTCCAACCTTGGCAACTTTAAGACTTGTGGACTTCAACTCACAGAGATCCTCAGCCAGCAAATATCAGGAAAAGGAAAACAGCACCTAGTGTTTCTGAAGAAACATTGCCTCCAAACAAGAATCTACCAGGTCTTATATTTTCACTGGGAACAAAGCTTTTAAATATATACAAATAATATGTCATTGTAAAAATGATCTGCATATTATATAATATGCTTGTCTGTTCTCTTCATGTCCAAAAGTACAAATTATTAACAAAGAACATCCTTAAGCCTTACCAGAATTATAAACCTTCTCTAGAGTTGTAGAATCTAGATCACTGAAAGGCATCCATAGTTCCTTGTTTTCCACTTCCTTACAGTAAAACCAATGTGGCTGAGGAACTCTGGGAGTTGAAGTCCACAGGTCTTAAAGTTGCTAGCTGAGGAATTCTGGGAGTTGAAGTCCACAGGTCTTAAAGTTGCCAAGGTTGGAGACCACTGAGTTAGGTTAATGGTATAAAGCCTCTTTTGAATGACACATTTTCCTCTCTCCCATCTTATGTCACTGATTTTCACTACTATCAGCTGATGCCTGACACCTGTCTCCAATCAACATCCTAATAAATTGATCCCTCCAAATCTTATCTGCTATGCTTCTAACCGAAAGACACCAACATTATGTTTTTCCACATTACAACAGGTAGTCCTCAACTTATGACCACAACTGAACTCAAAATTTGTGGTACCGTGAGAAATTTGTTAAATGAGCCTCATTTTACAACTTTTTTTTGCCACATTTGTGAAGTGAATTGCTTCAGTTGTTAAATTAGTTAACACCATTGTTAAGTGAATCTGGTTTCCCCGTGGACTTTGCCTGTCAGAAGATTGTAAAAGGTGATCACACGACTCCAGGATACCACAACCATCATAAACGTAGAGCCGAGGTGGCGCAGTGGTTAGGGTGCAGTACTGCAGGCCACTTCAGCTGACTGTTATCTGCAGTTCANTTTATTTATTTATCAGCACAAATAAAACATATGTGTGTGTGTGTGTGTGTGTGTGTGTGTGTGTGTATGTATGTATGTATGTATGTATGTATGTATGTATGTATGTATCACTTCAGGTAAGTGTTCAATTGTCATGATAAATAAATACTGTACCAAGACTGTCCAGGCTTAATTTGAAGATGCCTAGAAAGGAGAACCCACCACTTTCCTAGAGCCTTCATTTAATCATCAAACTACTTTTATCATTAAGATTTTTTTCCTTTTATCCTTTAGTGGTTGTGAACTACTTCTGGCTGTGATTCTCACAGGCATGTATGGATTTCATCCCCTCACAGAATCTTTCTATCAATGACAAACAAGTATGTTTCTTCCATCTCTTCTCACCGGACTTCCTTCATCCATGCTACCTCCCCTTTTTTGTTTGTTTGTTCCTGCTATAATTTGCCTGACAACTTCTTAAATAGTGGGACCCAGAACAGAAGTTGAGGCTGGAACTAGCCAATGTAGAATATAATATAAATAGTACTTTTCACGAATGTAGAAGCTACCGTTCTATTGGTGCAGATCTGTAATTGCCTTTTGGCAATGGTGTCAAAAATCCAAAATCTTTTTCAGCCTCACAGTTGAAAACATTACAACATTACCGCCACCTACAAGCATTGCTGAGATGTGTTTTCAGATCTCTCAGTCATGGCCTCATACATACGTACATCTAGTTCTTTGTGTTTTCCTTTCATACAGAGAATATTTCCCTTTTTTATGGGGCTTGCTATTTTAGCACAGGAATCAAGCTGCCGAACATGTTTGCTTTCAAACACTTATTCTAATAGTAATGGTTGAAGGTCATTTGCAAATTGCATCTTGCACCAGTCTTGATTAGTGATAAGGAAACAAAAAAGGGTTAAAAAAGCTGAAGTATTCCTCAAGTAGAGACTGACTCCTGGTGATTAGATCCATACAGTTTTCTTATTGTTAGAAATGTTATTTAAAATTCTTTGCCACTACCTTCTTGCATGATTTATTTTTCTTTCTTGTCTAGCTGGCAGCCCTGTAATTCTTGTCCAAATACAGCAGTAACAGTCACCCTATTTAACTTTACAGATGAGCAAAAGTCTACTAGGTTCTGACACCTGCAGAGGCTCAAAGCATGAAAAATGCACGTCTATAAGCATTATACTGACAACATTCATTTTAGGAATAGTGCAATTTTTCGCAAAAGCCCTTAGTCTACGTAATTCATCTGGAAAACCCTGGAAGAGTGATGCTTTCAAGGCTGTAGCAAACAAGAAGCAATCTGAAGCTGTAGGTTTCCTCACATGACATATAAGTGAATAAACAAAGAACTGGAACAGGAGAAATCTGCTATAGATTCAATTGCTATTCATCATGTGAAACAGCTGGAAAAACTGCACACACAGCAGGTTAGAGCAAACCTCCCTATTCCCTACACACACACACACACACACCTCTTCAGCAAGAGGCTTTAGGACTATAATTTTGTTTTTTATAGCAACAGAAAAGATGAGATAGCTCTCTGTGAAATGTCTGGAAGGAAGGAAGGAAGGAAGGAGGAAGGAAGGAAGGAAGGAAAGAAAGAAAGAAAGAAAGAAAGAAAGAAAGATCTGGCAAATACGTTTACATTGCAATCAAAATAAGCTCTGTGTCGCTTTAAATATAAATAGATTTTGGACAGGCCATGGTTTTTGGCTTCACTGGTCCACAATGTAAACTGTCAGTGTTATTTCCCAAGAATCTGCCAGAACTCAAGACTGTTTGAGATAATAATACCACCAATACAGTAGCTACTTATGATGGGCTTGGGTTTTTGGGAGGTGGGTGGGTGGGTGGGTGGAGCATCAGGGCCCTCTATTCCATGGGGTATTTCATTCTACTTTCCCACTGCAGTATCCTTATGAAAATGCATCCATACATCATTTGCTATATTTAAGGCTAAGGGCCAACTAGGGGAATCGTTCTCTTGGTTCAGCTAATCGAAAGATTTTCCAGAGAAGCAGGAAAGGAAGTGGGCACCCTTTCCTTATGCTGCTATCCAATTCTTAATTCCTGCCTTCTCCTTTCTAACTTATTTCTCACTGGGAAAAAAAGGGGGTGGGAGGAAGGGAGCTAGAAAAACAATGTGGCAAGTACATTGTCCACTTTATCTCCAGGCAAATATACATGTATGCATTCCAGCCAGTCCCCTCTTTGGTATTTTCAGGAAGACAGGGTTCATCCCCTATTTTTTAGTTATGCCAGAGGCCAAAATGAAAAACTGAATTTCTCCCTGCCGGTTATAACACCTTGCCTCTTTTGCCTTGATGGATAACAGTTATGAGACATTATGTTATTACTTCATGCAGGATGGTACTACGGTTGGTTTATTTTCTTTAACTCTTGTAAAAGACAGTTAACCAAGGAGGATATTTTGGGGGATACAGGATGTCTTTTAACTGCCAAGGAAAAGATCACAATCCTGTGTATGTCAGTAAGAAATATTTTTATGCAAGGCAGAAAATGGTATTTCCTTTTACCACCGCTAGATGGCAGACAGACAAGCCATTTTCTTCCATATTACCACGTGTTTCTTAAACCGCAGAAAACAGATCACGCTCTGTTTTGAACTTAACTGTCCTTAGTATCTAAGTGTGCACAGACTGCACAATATCAACAATGCATTTAAGGAAAGGGGAAATTAAAAAAAAGATGATAAATGCATCATAAACGTATTTAGCACTTCAACCACACTATGATGGAACAAAACACATTCAAGGTGGTTGATACCATTATTAATGTATGTGAGAGAGACAGGATGACATTTCAACATCTATATTATTCCTGTAGGTTTCTTAGCACTTAATGTCATATTGGGGAGATGCTGAGTAGATTGAATGAAGACAAATACGACATTTTATCTATGCAAATGTCTTGGAAAGGATTCTAAAAAACTGGTGCTATAAATTTTAAGCACGTCAGATAAAAAGCTGACTTATTGCTTAGTATATACATTTTCTCAATAATCCATTTAATTTAAAAAGAAACCATACTTTTAAAAATGGGATTAAAAAGGCTCCAATCTGCCCAGGGCAAGTGGAAAGAAGCATGAATAAGAACAGATCCAGTGGTGGATCTGCAAGGAAATAGAGATGTAAAACGAATTATGACGTTCAGCTCACACTGTAAATGCAGAACCTGCTATGGACCTGAAGAGTGATGTACTAGTCTTTGTCTGAAGCTAAAAACATTTCCCTTCTTTCTTGCCCTGTTATTTATATATACTGTATGGACCCACCAGGGGTGGGTTCCTGCCAGTTCTAACCTCTTCTATAGAAGAGGTTCCACAAATTTACAGTGCCATTTAGAACTGGTTCCAGCTCCCTCCCCCTGCCCGTCTGCACATCATCAAGATGAAGAGCGAGAGGAGGAATTCTGGGAGTTGAAGTCCACAAGTCTTAAAGCTTTCAAGTTTGAACACCCCTGGGGTGTTTTTTTTCTAAAGGGTTAGGGGTGCAAGGGGTCTTGTAACTTGATAGCTTTAAGATTTGAGTGCTTCAAATGCCAGANAAGGAAGGAAGGAAGGAAGGAAGGAAGGAAGGAAGGGTAAAACACAGGAGTAATTATTGAGGAAAAGAAAGTAAGAATGTGATAATCTCTTCAGAAATATCTATTAGCAAGTATTATTCTCTAGTTTGGAGTCCCCAACCCCCAGGCCATGGGCCGCTACTGGTCTATGATCTGTTAAGGACCAGGATGCACATTGGAGGTGAGTGTTGGGTGGGTAAATGAAACTGAAACTATCAGCAATCCGGTCCATAGAAAAACTGTCTTCCATGAAACAAGTCTCTGGTGTCAAAAAGGTTGGGGGCCACTATTCTAGACAATGTGCTTCTGCTTAGCACCTGAGACTAATGCAGAAACCTGAAAAAAATATTATGCTTATGATTAAAATTTTCTTTCATTCAGGATTGAATGAAAGTGAGTGATTAGAAAGTGAGATTTCCAAACTTGGTATCCTTTGAAAGTCTCCACCATGGTTGCGAGCAAGATGGCTAATACTTTGAAGAAGGAGAGGATGGGAGATCACCGACACGTGCCCTTGATGGCTGCTTTTCATGTGGGGATTTCAGCAGAGCAAGTTTGAGCACCAGGAGACAACAGGATTAGCTATTTTGCTCACAACTCCACCACAACTGTGGTGGAGACCTTTAAAGGACATTAAATTTGCAAACCCTACAATGCTCCTGATGTAGCTGTAGCTCCTCAGAGACCATACAGACACATGCAGATCCACACACACTCTCTCAAACTATTTGCCAAGTTCTTTGGCATTTGTCTTCACTCTTGAAGATGGACAACAAAACTTATGTGGAGATTTCATCCCCACAAAAAAAGGACTGATCTTCAAGTCACTCAATACATTTCCATGGCACAGGTCAGTTTCAACCTTTCTCCCATGTTTTAGCCATTGTTGGAACAAGCCATTTTAAGATACTTTAACACATGTATTCATTATTTAACGTATAGCAATAGTTTTTTGTTGTTACTCTGTCTACCGAAATATTATGCATAAATTTGCTTTTAGTGATTGGCTTGTAGTGATGTATGCTCCCATGATTGGTTCAGGGCAATGTATTCTTTTCAAAACTGTATAAAAGGGTGTTAACTCTGAGCAGGGTTATGCCCATTCTGCAACTTGCTTCTGGACAACCTTTTATTTGCAAATACATTTCTTAGTCCTTGCCACCTATTTTGTGTTGTTCATTGGGCTTGAATACCAGGTAAAAGGACCTGAGCTTTCTGAGACAATAACTTCAGTCACTGTACCATGCAGAATGAAGAATAAATAACAATAACGGTGTTTTTGCCTCCATATAAATAACAGTCCCTATTTATCTCCTGGCTTTAGGAATGTCCCTCATTGTGTAGAAGCATTGTACCCAGACCCACAACAGAAAGGAGGAGAAACTGCCATAATTGCTGGATCTGTTACAATAACAGATTGAATAAGGCTTGAATGGGGGTACAGCATCCCAATCGTGTTAGCATTTTTTGTTCTCAATATGCAACTTTAGGCCAAGCTANAGTCCACAAGTCTTAAAGCTTTCAAGTTTGAACACCCCTGGGGTGTTTTTTTTCTAAAGGGTTAGGGGTGCAAGGGGTCTTGTAACTTGATAGCTTTAAGATTTGAGTGCTTCAAATGCCAGAGTTTCTGAGCCAACATTTTGGTTGCTAAGCAAGAGCATTGTTAAGTGAGTTTCACCACATTTTACAAGTTGGCCACGCCCACCCAGTCAGATGACTGTCAAGCCACCCCCACTCGGTCACATGGCTGGTAACCCACTCCCACCTGGTCACATGGTTAGCAAGCCACTCCCACAAAGCAGACCACACCTACAGAAGAGGTTCTAAAAAATTTGAAACCCACCACTGGGACCTACTAATAAAGCCAACAGAGTCGTATAGGTCCTTTGGGACTTTGAAAGAAAGAGACGAAATATGATCAGATCCCACTCAATTTTCATACACCAAGCAATCTTACCTGGCTGCCGGGCAGGAAGGCGTGCTGGTACAAGGAAAACCTGTCCTTTGCAGACTCCTCTGAGGTGGGACTGATGGGCTTAGGGTCAGATAAAGACCTTTGGATGGTTTTGATGGGGCGAGGCAGGGTCTGCTGGCGCTGGGTGGACTCAGCCATGAAATGCTTCTGTGGAGTCACGTGGGCCTTGTTGAGCCTTTCACTGGAAGCAAAGGATGACTCTAGCAACCGATGAGGGGAGAGGGGAGACACGGGGGAATAGAGGACCTGAGGGGACTTGGGGGGCTGTCGGGACACAAGCTGAGACAAGGAGTCTGTGGGCAAGTGGGATTGGTAGCCAATTTCGAGAGGAACAGGCTTCTTCTTGGCTAGTGCTTGCTGTCGGACTGAATGAGGATCCAGAGGCCCAGAGCTGACCATCTGGATGTTGGAGGAGTAAGGAGGGATTGAGGTGGGCACCGTGAGCTGAGGGATGGCAATGCCAGGCTGGGGCTGCGCTTCGGGTTCTGTCTGGCAACCCAAACTCTCCCCTCTCTGGGTCTTCTCAGGGGCAGAGATGTACTTCACGATCTCCACCTTGGGGTCGTGGGAAGTGACGTGGATGGAAGGGGACACTCGGAGCAACTGGTCGGGTTCAGTCTGCACAGAACAGTCACTGATGGTTTGGATGGCTATGCTGGCCATGCCTTTTGCTGAAGAATCGGCTTTACTCTCGGCACTAGAATCAGAGTGGCGGGAGAAGCGGGAACGTCGGCGACGCACCGGCTGTTCCCACTCGGCATCGTCTTCCTCATCTGTCTGAACACTGCAATCAGTGCTACGCCGAGGACGGCGCCGCCGGGATGCATAGAAACGTTCCTCGCCATCTTCTTCATCAGTCTGCACGCTGCTGTCTGTGATCTTTTTCACCAAGTAGGGTTCATGGCTGGGCTCCTTATCATACGCGTCCCGAAGACGAGGCATTGAGTTCCGTTTTTTTATCCCCCGACCAGCTTCCCACTGTTCTTCAGTCTGCAGGGACATTTCAGAGGCTGAGTTTGTAAGAGGCCTTTGGAATCCTGGATAGCGATGCTGTGCTTGTCCGTCTTGCCCCGGGGGTGCTGAAGCAATAAAGGCTTGGTTTAGGGGTGGCCAGTATTGTCCGTTTTGAGCCAAGGTCCTTTGCATTTCTATTGTTACCTCAGGGGCAGCCTGAGGAGGAATCCGGCCGGTTGGGTCACATACTGGAGGAAAGGTGCCCTTCTGCCTCTTCTGCTCTTCCAGCTGCTGTTGCAGTTGCTGCTGCAAGTGCTGGATTTGTTCTAACTGCAAGCGCTGTTGGGCGAGCTGCTCCCGCTGCAGGGCGAACTGGGCCTGTCTCTCCTCTTGCTGCTGCTGGAGGACCTGGTGCTTTATGGATTGCAACTCCTGCATTTCCCTGTGCATCAAGAGCTGTTCCTTCTCTCTGTGTCTCTGTAGCTCCACCCGTTCCCTTTCCAGTTCCTCGTGAAGCCTCATCTGCCTCAGTTTTTCCAGTTCCACTCTTTCCCTTTCGAACTGGAGGATGTGCTCATGTTGCTTCCTCTGCCGTTCTTCCTCCTTTTCCTTTTCTTCTCTTTCCATGGCTCTTTTGCTAGCCTGTGGGGCTTCTGTCGGAGGCTTTTGGGCTGGCAGTCGGGGAGGTACCTCCTGTTGTGTCTGGCTGGTGTCCCTGGTGGGACCCTGAACCTCTGAGGTTGACACAGGCATCTCCTCGCGTGGGCCAACCCCCGCCTGCTCAGGTCTTTGCAAGCCGACTGTGCTTGGAGCAGAGGACTTAGTAGCAGGTGCTACATTTACTGTGCTGGCAGCAGTGCTGGCTGCAGTGGTGCTAAGTGGTTTTCCTAAATACATGGGTGTTTCCATTACAGATGCAGAAGGAACTGCAGGAATCCTGCTGGGCACAGTATAGCGATAAAGACCTTGAGATGCAAGGGGGATCCTAGGAGGACCTAGCGGTACTCTGGTGAGGCTAGCCAGAGGGACAGCTGTGATACTGCCCGGAGCATAGTGCCTGTACAGGCCTCGGAGCATGGGCCGTAGCACCGAAACTGGTTGGGTGGTGATGGGGAGGGTTGATGCTATTGGTGTATTAATGGTTGAATAAATCATGCCGTCGGCAGCTCGTACAGTGGCTGTGGAAGGGAGTACCTGTCTGACAGATCCAAACCTTGAGAGATTATATTGGGCCAAGTTTCCAAAGCCAGAACGAGACTCTGGGAAATTTGGATTGTACATCATGTTTGGTTTCATGCCACCCTGTTGAGCCATAATGTTTCCAGTCCCTCCTGGTGCAGCTCCAAGAGCACCATGTCCATATTGTAGAAGATCTTGGCTGTTCGCATGCCTGCCCCCATACTGGTCCATGGAGTTAAGGGCTGCACACATTCGGCTGATTTCACGAGCAGTGGTAGCACTGTAATGAGCCAGGCTAGCTTCCTGGAAATTGGCCAAGTCTCCTCTTGATGAATATCTATAATCAGAGTAGATATTGGAGGCTGAGCTGTACCTTCGCATGGGATACGAATGACTTAATAATTCAGTGGGTTGTCGGAGGTCAGTGAAAGAGCCATATTGCAGCCCATGTCCTAGATGTCCTCCCTCCGTAAAACTGTGGTTGTAGGGATGCTTCATAGTTGACAAGTCCACAGCGGAATCTCCAGCAGGGGAAGGGAAGGGCTGCTCCCCTTTAACTGAGTAATAATTCAACCCCATTTCAGAAAGATTTGTATCCGACATTGAGGAATATAATCTCCCAAACATGCCGTGCGGATGGAATCGGTGCTCTTCGTACTGCTGAGGGACCGGTGCCGGCTGTTCTCTGTAAGAGTATGTCTCCGGCATTTCCTGTTCTCTGGTTCCATAATACTGGCCACTAGCTTTGCCAAGGGGAGCTGCTTCTCCAACATGCTTTTCTGGCACCTTAGGAGATGGATTAAAAGCCCCAGTGCAGCTGCTTCCAAATGGAAATCTGTAGACTACATCACAGCATGCTACTTGGCTCTCAGGCTTCATTCCTGTGAGGTCCAGAGCATTAGGAGGAGGAGGTTCTTCTTTGATGAGTTTTGTGACAGACCCTGCTGCTATGTCATCCATCTGCACCATCATCACTTGGGACTTCTTACTTCCAACTGAAGGAGTCTGACTTTTCAGGTCCACTGGGATCCCTCTATAGAGCTCTGAGCTTTGATCCTGAGGAAACGGCCTGGGAATGGCACTCACAATATTTTGGGCATTGCTAGTCTGAGTAATTAGTGTATCTTTTTTTACCATGGGTGCCATTTGGTTGGGCAAATTGTATCTTGCAAATTTTGTTTGCTGTGGACCTGCTGCTTCTGGACGGCCCATAGAAGCAGATGTGCCAGCTCCACTCATGGGTCCTCTAAAGGGACCGGTCTGAACAGCTTGCTCCACCTGTTTAATTTGGGTCAGACAGACTGGACTTCCTGTCTCTTGTCCAAAGTCAATTCTGTTCTGGAAAGGGTCCCCATAGACAACTGGTTGCTTTGATTGGGACATAAGCATGGTAGACGCAACTGTTATGCTGACAGTGGTGGCACTGCTGATAATAGCATGTGGTTGTTCCTGGGCATTGAGGTTAATGATTAAAGGTTGGATAGCTGTGGATTGCCGACTCGGTGACTGGTCCATGGTGAGGCAATATTTTCTGCTCTCAGCAGCTAAAGACGTGAGATCCATTCCGTAGTCTGTTACAATGATTGGAACAGACTTTATTGCTGTCCTCAAATCGACAATATTAGTACCAGATGCTCTAGGTCCAGGTTCTACTCTAGATGTCCCAGGGACTGAGGATATCCTACACAAAGAGATATTCTCTGCAGGTAATGTGCCCCAGCTATACACACCAGGCATAGGGTCAGTAGCAGTGCTCTGCATTTTCTGCCCTGGAGTATAAGGAGAGACTTTTTCAGGCATTGGCTGTGTCTTGGTGTGAGTGGTCTGGACCTGCTGTGACTGGAATTGCACTGCATTGATTGCTGTTTGGCTGTAACTATGCACTGTTTGCTGGCGGCCTTGCTGAGTTGGAGATGAAGGTGGTGAAATGGAGGAGCTTACACCAATTGGCTTGGTTTGAATAGCTGCATCAGACGCTAAGGTGATGACCATAAAGGGGGCTTCTTGTGATGACTGTTGCCTAGCCAGGCGTGGGGAGCTGGCTCGGTGAGGAGTTTGTGTTCCTTGAGCTATCATTGGAGAATCTGTTGATGCCCCAGTAGTTGCAATGTCGTACGAAATAATTGTGCTGTGTGTTTGAGTAGAAAACTCAGCCGTTGATCTAGCTCCTACCCCGGAACTAGATGGCATCCCAGTTCTGGGAACAGAATAAGTAGGACTTTGAGTAGGAGAAGAAGGGGAAAGGGGTGGACTGGAACTTTTGTAAAAAGAGTACATTTTGGGGGTTGACATGGGTACATTTGTGCTGCCATCAGTCACACCTTGATGCTTATCTCTTACTGACGGCCCACTGATCCTGGGAATGTTTTCTGTTTGAGAACCATAACTTGCAGTTACTTTTGTCTGGCTTTGGCTAATGGTGGACACAGGTGATACATCAGAGCCACTTGAAGTTGGAGAGCCGTAAATTCGGGTTGCGCTAGCTGAACTAGAAACAATGGTAGTGACTTGGCTAGTTCCTTTACTATATGAGTAAGGCATAGCTACACTCTTTGGAACTGAGCTAGCTGTAACTGAGGAACTTTGAAACTTTGTTTGCTCATTGCTCTCTTTTTCAAAGTGCTGAGTGACTCTAACATCAGGGATTATTCTGCCTGCGCTGCTTTCAGTCTGTGAAAAGGAGACGGGAGCAGAGAGTTGGGTAGGACTTGTTCCTGGAGTGAGTGGGCCACTTTCATAAGCACTCTCAGCATTCAAAAACTGCTTCTCTGGATAGGGATCTTCTCTCCCTTTTTTCTTCATTTCTTGCTCAACTGTCAAATCCAGAGAAGAAGATTGATGCATCCTGGAGATATTCTGTGATGTTTGAAGGATTTCTTCATATAGTGCCCCAGATTTGGAAAGCTCATTCTGATAGTCAGTTTGCGAGGAATCCACACTCCGACTGTCATAACCATAGTCATCGATGTACTGATATTCAAAATTGTTTTGGTCTTCCGAACCACGATAACTTACTTCTTGAAAGGTGTTGTTGTATGAAATACTTTGTTGGAAAGGTTGTTGTTTTTGGAACATTTCTGCCTTCCTCATCATCTCTTCATAGGCTTCTTCTGCACTTTTGAGGGGCTTGTTGGATGGGTAACCAGAGCTAGCCATTTTTTCTGTTGGAGAATAAAGGGACATGAAGGTTGGCAGATTGTACTCACTGCCAGATTTGTACAGTTTGGAGGCAATGACATCAAATCCTTCAGCCTCCGAGTCAATGGAGGGTGAATATTCTGAACAGGAAGACCTGTGCAACTCCTCCATCTCTGCAGCCTGACGCAATTCCTCAGTGGGTGAAGCATCTTCAATAGGTGACAAATTACTGGGCGGCGTTTTAGACCTCTCTCTCCTCCTCTGTGCCCTCAGCTCTTCTTTATCTCTTTTTGTTTTGCGTGCTGTGCTTCGGATCCGCTGCTGCTCCACCTCTCGCATTTTTTCTTGTTCTCTCAAGAGCTCCTCTTCCTCACGCAGCTCTTCTTCCTCTGAGGAATCTTCAATGGTTGGCAATAGAGGGCCATGAGAGCGATGCCGGGCTTTCCTCTGCTGTTTAACCTCTTCTAATCTCTGTCTCCGGCTTGGGCTGCTGTCACTGTCTTCCTCCAGAGAAGAGACCGAGGTTGGGGATGTTCCTGAGGTGTAACTGGGTGTGGTTGGTGGCAAGGTGGAGGAATAGTCACCTCTTGATCTATCTTCTGGGGAGCCTGTGAGGCTCTCCATCTCCAGTTCAGGTTCTCTGTCCAGATTGATATCTGCCTCCTGGCTCAACTCCATGTCTCTGCCATAGTTGTTTGTGCTGTTTAACTCAATGGTCTTGAAACGACGCAGACCTCCCTGAGATGCAGCCATATCATCATCTTTGGCGCTTTCCAATTCTTTTTGTTCCTCCTCATATATGCTGCTCGAGCTGTGAGGCAGGCGTCTCTTGGATGGAGTAGGCTCTCTGCTTTTCTCAGAATCAAGCTTGTGTCCATTTTTTGTACTGTATTTTGCACGATCATATTCTTCTTCCTCCTCAAGATTGTCTTCTTCTGCACTCATCTCCAAGATTTGCCTCCTCATGAATTCTTCATCCGTCATTACAGGCTCTTTGCCTTTCTGTTTCGTTGGTACCGGGGAGAATCCTGCTTCACTACTATCTGTCACGTAGTCATGGCGTAGCTTGCTGCCATAATCATCTGAAGACTCCACGCTGTCCTTCTTCTCCCTTTGATTATCCCATTCCAGAGAGTCTTCATCTTCTTCCATTATGTCTTCTAGCTCCTCATCGGAATCAAAGGCTTCTGGAGTGATAGACAGTGACCGTGGCCTCTGTCTCTGCCTCTGCTCCTCCCGTAATTCATGGTATGTCTTCCCTCGGTCAGCCGATGGATGGGCCAAGCTCTTTGACTCCAGTAAAGGGCGCATGCTGGTTTCCAGCTTAGTAAGTTCAGAAGGACTGGGAGAACTTGGTTCCACAATTCCTGTTTCATTTAGTTGTTCTCCTTCTTGCTGCACTAAGCCTGTGATTTCACTCTGGGAACTAGAGATCCCATCAGATGAGTAGCCCGTATCACTCAAGCTTTGGGGGCTGCGGGACTGCAGGTCTGAGGGATAAGGCTTGCTGGAGTCCTACAAAGAAAATGAAAACCCATTAACATTTCATTATAACTGACTGTAAACATAATTCATGTTATTATTCAGATTTACAGCAATTCATAGTTGCAATTAACCTGGACCCTAATATTCAAAAACAGCAACCATAAATATGCTAAGAAATGAGAGCAGCACCCTTATCTTTGCTTGCCGGTAGGCTAATTATTGTCCAATCACTCTGTTCTCTTTTTTAGAATTTTCAGGGGCCCGATGACAGACTTCATTTGAGTCTCAGTATTTTTCCACTGTTTTCGTTGCCCTTTTTAATCCAGAAAGTTATTTATGGCAGAAAGACAGAATTTATGTGCAATGCCTTTTGATTGGTAGACCAGATCCTCTCTACCTTTTAATAATTTAAAAGTGCATGCAAGATTGATTCCTAATATGAGGAGCCCAAGGAAGTAATTCTTTTGTGTTTTTTCCCTACCCCAACCTACGCTCAGAAGTCAAAACACAAGTTCATTTTACAGATATACACCCTTAAAACATGACACAAATGTATAACGGCAATATATGTAGTTAATAAAAGACATCTCCCTGCTAGATTCAAATCCACAAAAGGGGGAAAAAAAGAACAAGGTCTTTTCAGACCATCTATTTGTAGTTTAATAAACGAACAGCTCAGACTGTTTTGCTGCAAATGCCATCCCACAGGGAAGATTTTTGAGGTATATTGCAATTTCCCAGCACTAGTATGAAACATTTTTGTTATTAGAAAAATATAAGCATACCCAATCTTGTTTTGGCAAATCAGAATTATTTGCCCGATCACAGATGATAACTAGTTATTTTAAAAACTTTATCCCATTATATACAACTGGTGTTTTTTTAAAACCTAAATGATGTTTTAGCCTAGTGTCATTACGAATTGTGATACTTATAAGTCTCCATCCAACTGTGGATGCCAGGCCTACTTTCAGCAAGCTTTTTAGAACAATTCAAACCCAAGCAGCTAGCTCTGAAATGTTATAAATTTACATTCTCTGCCCCCAAGCCAGGAACTCAGGTTTACATGTCTTATTGGCCCTGTTCTTCCTTTAAAAAAAAATCTGGTTTACCCAAGGCTGAACAATTTTAAAGGCAAGACCAGACACACAATTGTTGCTTTTGCAAAAAGAAGTATCAGCATCCTTGACACCTACTCTGCAAAAGAATGCACTGGAGATCTCTATCTCAGCTTTTACAAAAGTTGCCTAATGTGTTACTCGATTGTTTAAAACAATTTCCCATGCCTTTTTGAATAATACATTAACTCTCAAAACACACACACACACACATTTATGTTTTTAATGTTAGATGCACATACAAAGACCATTATTTGAATGATACATTTTTTCTAGCTTAGCTTTGAGTAAGCTTCATATTTGCCATTTTGAGGCACCACCTCATAAACTTATCAAGTCCAGGTCTCAGGTCAGTGGAAAATTTCAAATTTAAGCCCCCAGGCCAGGTTATCTAATATCCATTCATGAATGCACCCAATGAAAGGTAGAACACTTGCATTTTGAGTAATTTGTTCCCTGATAAACTACTTTTTCTTTTATGACATTTTTCTAACATTCAGCAGAAGTCCTCTCTAACTTAAATCTATTATTCTACATCCCACATTCTAGAATGAAAGATAACAATCTTGACTTTCATCTGTATGACATCATTTCTGGTATTTGACTAGTGCTACCATATTTTTCCTCAATATTTTCAAGGTTATCGATGCCCAGATATGCCCAGTGCCTTCAATCTTTCTTGATACAACTTCATTTTGAGTTTCCTAATTATTCTTATTACCCTTGTTTGCCCTCTTCTTCCAATTTCTCTATATCTTTCTTAAAGCTCCAACCTAGACAGGAGATTCAATGCAGGATCTCAGCAGAGCAGAACAAAATAGAGTCAGCATTTCTTGTGATTTAGAAACTCTGCTTTTGTATAGTCTGAGGCAATCTAAAATTGCATTCGCCTTTTTTTTTTGCTGCCATATCATGCTGATGCCTGAACAGCTGTTTTGCCATGCGCTCTTCCCACCTGAGATGCCAGAAAACTATGCTAGCCTAAATCTTGCTGCTTACCTAATATGTTCTTACCTGAATGAATCTGTGCTGTGGTTCCACCCAGGTGGCTTTAACATGCAACAGTCTAAGAGCCATGACTGGGGGTTCTCTCACTGAAATTCCAGTGTTCCTCAATGTCAATCCTGCCTCTTCTGCAAGCCCATCTGTCCTTACATTTTCCACGGAGCATGTCTTTGGCTACTGCCTAGTCTAGCGTGCATGCTTGCTTCTTTCAAAATCTTATCTGAAATTGTATAGGGTCTGAAATGGCATAGGGTCTGAAATGGCATAGGGTCTGAAATGGCATAGGGTTCCCTGCCTGAGCAGGGGGTTGGACTAGAAGACCTCCAAGGTTCCTTCCAACTGTTCAATTCTAATTCTAATTCTATTCCTAATTCTTATTCTATTCTATTCTATTCTATTCACACTGCAAAGTTCCTACCTCTCTCTTTTTCATATTTAAATTGCAGAATAGGCAGACTGCAACCAAGCTACCAAGCTCCAATTTCCACATCTTTGTTCCTATGAACCTGAACCATCAGTTCTTCATTGCCATCCTAGTTTCTATGGACCTATAGCAAAATCAGGGAACAACGTGAAGCAATAGAGATACAAGCCTTTGTGTGCAGGAAAGCAAAGGTTTGTGTTAAACAAGAGAACGTTGAAAGGGGTTGCAAAGGCATTCATGCGTATAAACATCTGGAAAAGCAAAGAATGGAGGCTACCCCTAAAAGAAAAAAACAAGTACTGAGAGTGATTCAAACATCCATCCAGTCAGACTTAACTTCCCTATAAAGATGGGAAGGACAAAAAAAAATGGGTTGGGGGGAACAACCAATCAGGGCCTGCAGTTGCTGGAGGCTGGACTGAGGCCCAACCTGGCTCCATTGCAAAAACCACAGCTATTCAGATAGGAATTTGTGAAATCAGCATTCTCGCTTGATGCATTCCTCTATGCAGAAGCATTCATGATCCTAATTTGGGTATAACTGTATGATTAGTTGCAAATCTATTAGACTCAATATTGTTAATCCATATTTAATTGAGGGATAATGATGGCAATGAGATAGGCCCTAATTGTTACAATCAAATCCCTCTCCTTGTCTGGGGTTTGCAAACCCCATTGAACTGCAAGGGATCTAAACCTTTCCTAGATAAAGCATCAGAATAATTTGGGAGTGCCGTGCTTATCCTCCTGCCCCTTCCCACAATACCTCATTATATAATACAGGTATCATAGATCTGAGAAAATGTCATCTGATATACCAATTGTGATGCATCCTTCTCAATAAATAAAAACCCCAACTATTGGCCAGAGGTTTGGAAAACAAGCCTTCTTGAAAACAAATGATATCCATCATTAAGGATTATGGTTCCTTTTTTTCATCTCACTTACCTTTGCTCTCCCTGTCTGTCAGAGCCTTTTGTGAAGGTTTAGAATGTAATATAACTTCTGCCCCAATAACTCAGCAACTTCCCGCAGGCTGCCAGACTATAAATAGAGCTGGAGGGAGGATTCCTCCCCCCACCACATTTTAGATTCCTAACTGTACTTACCCCTTGGATGCTTTCTTATCTGGCCCCACACGTGCTTTCTCCATGCAAATCCTGACAGACATTTTTTCTTGGTTTAATAAAGAAGGCATTGTCCTACTGGAAACCGAACGCCATCTCCAGTCTTGCCTACAAATTCCTTCAAGCAAAAACTGAACCCTAAAAGGCACTTTAGAAATGTTGCTGAAATTCAGCTAAGTGCTACATTTATTCCCAGGACTCCAATAACGTTGATGTGGTGCTGATCTCACCGGCAGAATTAAAACGTTTTACATCTTCACATGCAACTTCAGAAACATGCAACTGGAATTTAAAGCCAAGAAGCAAATTTTCCTTCAGGTTTCAAATGGTAAGAATCCCAACCACATATTTCTCACAGTTCAGATGTCAGTACTGGGAGTAAAGTAACGGTAAGGCAAAAAAAGGCCAATCATCAGAATCCCCAAAGGCAGAAAAACCATACTTGGTGCTCAATTGGCATTTTGTGAAGAAAACCCAAGAAGCAAAGATAAGGGTGCTGATCAGACTACTACCTTGATTAAATGTTGTTAATTTAATCAATACAATCCAATCAAAATATTGACAGCTGTATAATTGGAAATTCCCACAGAACCCATTACAAAAAAGTTATTGTTTGCACTAATATCTATTTCTCAACTTGCAGCTCGGGAGAAATGAGGGCTCTACATTTACCGGAAAGGAAATGAGTTAATGTCCATTATAAAAAAAAAAAACTGTTGTACTAAATGCAGAAAATTAAGTAGACTGTCAGGTCCTACAGTCATCTTCTACGCTCAAAGGTATTGTTGGCTATGTTATGTAACATCCATGGTCTTTATTAATCACTCCACATGGAGACTGGAAGAGTCTATTGTGATATCTTAATCTAACAGGGCTTGCTCCTGTTCACCTTCATTCGTTCACTAGCAACAACTAATGGTTGTTCCCTTAGGTACTCCAATTTGTTTTTCTTTCTGGAAGTCTCATAATTAGCCTCCTGCTGTGCACTAATGCCTAACACTCTGACTCCTTTGATTCTCCACTGACTCCAACTAAACTTGGATAATTTTTGATAATTTCTATCCTATCATAACCCAATAGCAGAAACAATCTGATATTGATTTCATGGGTGCAAATTGTATTCTAGATACCCCATGAATCATTCCTGGAGAAATTACCCTCCACAAGTAACCAAGCACACACAAAGCTTTCTGGAAATGTGTGTGTGTGTGTATGCTTGTTGTATTCGGGTCTTTTCCCATGTAAGATTGAGATTGTCTTGGGCCCAAAACCCAGCCTGAAGATGGCGAGTGAGACCTCGCTGAAATGTTGCCAAGACAATCTCAATCTTACATGAGAAAAGACCCGAATACAACAAGACCAGCATACCTACACCCGTGAAAATATACAAACACACACACACACACACACACACACACACACACACACACACACACACACACACACACGTTTTCGTAGATTCACGGGTGTAGGTAGAGAGAAATTGTATATTTTCCAGAAATAACCGACTAGCCAATGTTTATACAATATGATGAAGCTGTGCTCCGATCCAGCAAATCTTGCATTTAGATTGTGAATGTTTTATCACAAAATGAT